AGTCCTAGTGACTGGTACACCATCCAATCTGCAGCCTATATGACTATGAGACCAGAAGAACTAGATGATGCCCAGCTACCAATGTCAACCACTTGGAAGGGGATCTATATAGGAGATCCTGGAAAGAGAGGGAGAGCAATGTGGACAAAACTCAAAATCATTTGGAGGAAAAAAGGGGGGGGGGGCGTGAATAATTTATTGGATGGTGTAATGGTATGTAGGTTCAATCATGTCGACCACTCCAGATCTCTCATTGAAGCTAAATTCTGGCCGGTCTATGGAGGTAGAAATAGGGGAAGGAAGGAAAGTTTAGAATCCCTCCCAATTCCCCAGGAGAGTAGACATTTAATTACCCAGCTCTACCCTTTTTCCCAGCCTGCCTCCCCAAAACAGCTTCCAAATCCCTTAGCTAAAAATTTGCATCAGAAAATGGAATTGGAATATGGGGGATGTTAGGTGCCTTGCCCAAACCCTCCAGCTTCAGTACTGATATGGGTGGGGGGAAAGAAAGTTAAGGAATGAAATCCCTCTTCCCCTATTTCCCAACTTAAAACTCAGACCCCAAGGGCTGGGCTGGGTTGGGCAGACAGAAGGGAGGGAAAGCCAGGCAGCTGTTCTCATTATCAGGGACCCATGCAGACCTGTTGGACAGACATAGGTGAAAGAAGGCCGAGCTGGAGGCCAGGAAGGTTCTTTAGGCTCCTAGAGGGAGAAGCAGGGGCCTGGGATCAAGGAGGGAGCGGGAAGCAACACAATAATAAACATTGGGAAGGAGCCTTTGAGCCCCCAAACTTGTGGGCCACCTTCCACCACCACCCGCCTCCCCAGTGCCAACCAGAGGGGCCCCTGCGAGTGGCAGGCCAATCAAGGGCAGAGCTTGATGCGGGTGCCCTTAGAAAGCACCCGGAAGAAAGGGAAGACACGCTCGCCCAAAAAGGCTGCTGAGAAAGTGTGCACATGGGCCAGAGTCTCCGCGTTGTAGAAGCCCAGGCGCCCAGCCTCATAGTCCAGGTACACGCCAAAGCGCCGCGGTTTCTCACTTGGGCTCAGCAGTGTCTGCTCTGTTGAGCTCTGTGCCTGGTAGCGTTTGCCGTTGGTGCCCACACACCAAACTTCCCGCTGGAGAAGAGGCTGCTGGGGCAGGTGGAGTCGGCGGCGGCGATGGTGATGGCGTGAGGAGCTGGCATCCCCACTACCTACAGAAGGCCCCCCAGAGCCCACCTTCTCCTTGTGATGGGTCGATTCACGGGCAGCGCCCACCGCCCAGCCCCGCCGCCCGCCCACCTCTACCTCCCAGTAGTGCCGGCCAGAGCGGAAGCCCTGGGCCCCCAGTACACAGCAGTCAGCAGAGAAGCGCTTGGGGTGGTCAGCAACCTCCTGCCGCCGCTCTGCCAGACGGACCCCTCGGCGGTCAGGGGATAGCATCAGGGCAGGGTGAGCCGTGTCAGGATCCAGCGTCAGGTCCACTTGGGAGAGGGGAGGACAAATATGCCAGGGCTGGAACAGCTATTTCCCATCAGCAGCCAACTCCACAATTCTCCCTTTCCTGCTGTCTGCCCCCACCCTCCAACGCAGTTCTCCTCAGCTCTCTACTACTCCCGAGAGCCCTCAGGTTCCTGCTAGTTCCACCATTCTCATCTTGTTCCCAGGACACCTGAAAGCTCGTCCATCTGGGCTCTGCTCTTCCCATTACTCCACACCCCTAAAATATACCTGGGATAAGACAGGCTACTAGCATTCAAGCCCCAGAATGGCCCACCTGTATGTATCCTGTTCCATCACAGCACCCTACATTTTCCCTGGACCCCAACTTTCCTTAGACTCCAACCTCAGGTCTGTGAAAAGGCAGCCAAGGAAGGCTGTATAGGTGACCTCCCTACCTCGGGCAGCCTGACAGAACATCCGGCTCATTTTCCTCACGATGGCATCTGTCAGGAAGTCATGGCTATGGGGTTGGCATGGGTCAGGGGACCAGGCCTCTGGGGGCTGCAGCTGTACTTCTTCACACCTGGAGGAAGGGGAGTGGGCAGGGGGTGGGACCACAATATTCCCAGAGGAAAGAACAGAAGCTGAAGGGAAGGAGAGGCGGGCCCAAGAGGCAGAAACGCAGGTCCTTGGAAAGGAGAGGGATACCCAAGACAGGGAGGGATGGGGAACCAGATGCTACTGGGTCACAAAGGGTAAAGGGTGGGAACACACCTATTGAAAGTCTCCTTGATGTCCTGGGAATAACAGAAACAAAAAGAGGGAGAGGGAGAAAGAGACAAAGAAGAGAGTCAGCTGCACAGGGATGGCTCCTTCTTTCTCCCAATCTCCAGCCAGAGAAAGAACTGAACTGAACAGGGAGGGAAAAGAAGCACCCGCAAGGACCTCAATAACTGTGAACGCATTTCAACCATCCTGTGCCTCAAATACCATCTCATCCTGCAGTACTGGAATTTCCAAAATACGAGTTGGTCACCTTTTTCAGGATGTCACTGTCAAAAATTGTTTCCCTAACACTCATTTAAACCCCACCAAAATGGAATCTTCTTTTCACGTGTACACTGTTCACATACACACGTACACAGCACTGAACATAAACTCTGCCTCCAGCCTCAAAAAATATTTTGATGTTCAGGTTAAACCACTGTGGTTCCTCTCCCAAGGAGCAAAGAGGCAATTCTGGACAAGTGTCTAGAAAGCACTGCCTGATAGAGCAGACAGGCACTGGGTCCTAGGAGTAGGACCAGGGCAAATCCAGGGGCATGAGGTGGGGGTGGGGACAGTGATTACCTGGAGCAGCCGCAAGCCCCCCTGCTGGCTCCGCTCCTGGGCCTCTGCCAGCAGGCGGCTCAGCTGGGCAGCCTGCTCTGAGAGGCGGCAGGCCGCTGCTCCTGCACGCCCCAGCTGGGCTTCATGCATTTCTCGGAGGCGCCGCTCCAGCCCTGCCTGCTCTTCTGCCAGAAACCGTGTCAGCCGCCCAAACTCTGAGGCCACTGCTGCCAGCTCTGACTTCATCTGGCTCTAGGATGACAGAAAGGGGATGGTGGGTATCACTTCAATACACAGATAAATCTTCGATTTTGCAATGAATGCCCTTCAATCCAAGGCAAGGGAGCCCTGTAAACCCGAGGCCAAAGACAGATCTTGGAATGAAAAGAAGCCCCTGGCATCCTCCTCGCCTGTCTTCCCAAGCCCCAGCACAGCAGTCTCAAACTCACCAACCTCTGCCTGGAATCTCTACCTTGCCTGCCTAAATCTGGCTCATCCTTCAAGTCTAAGCTTTAAATATTCCCTGAAAGAAGGCCTCCCTCCAGATCTCAATCAGAATCACCCTCACTAAATATTACTGTATTCCTTCATGGCATATATCGCTATCTGAAATTTCATGTTTATATTCAAGTATCTTTTAACCACCTTCTTCCCCACTACACTATACGCTCTCCACCAGCAAGAAGTGGGTATGTCTTTGTTTGCCAGTGTCCTCAGACCCTGACACAGCGTACCAGAGTATGCACTTGATAAGAAGCTTTTTAAATTGAATAAATAAAAGAATTCAGGAATCAAGGCACTGAAGTTAGGCTTCTGACTATACCACTACTTGCAATGACCTTGGAAGAGTCACCCAATCCCTCTAGATCAGGGGTCAGCAAACTTCTTCTGTAAAGGTACAGAATGTAAATATTTTAGGCTTTGTGGGCCAAGAGGCAAATACAAGGACATTATGTGGGTATTTACATAACAAGAAAAAAAAAAAACACTGCCCAGCCCATACCATTTGTCTGGAATGCACCATTCCAACTGTTAGTAACACTTTTTGCCAAGTTACCATTGTTGTTGTTGTTATGTGCCATCAACTCATGGTGACCCCTCCTTGGGTTTCCGAGGAGGCAGTATCACTACGGAAGTAGGATTGCCCAACCTTCCTTCCGAGGAGTGGCTGGTGGGTTTGAACCGCCAGCAGTCTGGTTAGCAGGCTGTTTTAGCCACTATGCTACCAGAGCTCCTAAGTTACCATTAGCTGGTAATATTCTTGGGACAAAGAGTAAGATTCCAGAGTAGAGAGGCAGGTGCTGGCTGGGCAGGAGACAACAGGACACACATATAACCACCAGTGAGTTTCACTCTCTGCCCTAGTGACAGATCCCAACATACCTTTCTCTGGATCCTTCTCTCCTCCTGAAAGCCCAAAAGTCTCAACTTGGGTGCTGGCCAAAGTCAAGATGACCTCTCAACTCCTAGGCTCAGATTTCTTAGCTCAAGGCCTAGCAATGGCCAACAGCAGAGTCTCTAACAAGTACAGGGCAACCATCATGGGCCCTGGCAAGTGTCAAAGCCCAGCCACTGGCCAGGTAGGCAGGCATTGAGAGCAAGGTGGGAGAGGGACAGAGGGACATGTCCTAGCTTGGTCTCAGCAGCTCACAGTGCTAGCCCACTCCAGCAGAATGTGTCCACCTTACAAAAAACAGGTAGTAGAGAGGGTAACTATGGGGAAAAGAAAATGTCTAAAAACACTGAACTAGAAGATACGAAGGTTCTCTGCAATGCTAACATTCACTAATTCCTCCTCTCCTCTAAATACCTTGGCTCCCTCTGACAACGCTGCAAGCTTCCCTGGACCATGTCTCTCTCATTCTCAGGGCTCTCTGCCCACTGCCAGCACCTCGACCTGGGAGTTCTCTGAAGGTTGCTCTGTGAGGTTTGCCTTGGCCGCTTTCCTGTCTTCCTTGCTACCCTTGAAGTGAGGGGCAGCATAGATAGCATGGTAGTGTGGAGCACATGCTCTCGGGCTGAGTATCTAAGGTAGAAATCTTACTCTGCAGCCTTGGGCCAGCCACCCAACCTCTCCAAGCCAGGCCTCAATTTTTACTCCATTTTGGAATCTATAAATATGCCTCCTGGCTCTCTAGGGCCCTCCTCTTATCAAGACCCTGGAAAGTTGTTTATCCTTCTTCTAGGCCTTAGCTGTCCCCTCTAGTTATTACTATAAGAGTGGGCAGTCCCATCTTCTTTGTCCCACTAAGGAACTAGTCAGCCCCTGCCAAAAACACTGACCCACCTTCAGCTCGGTCACCCGCCTCTCCTCCTTGGCCTTCATCTTCTGCACAGCCTCTAGGTGCTTCCTCAGTGGTTCCAAGTGGCCCTGCAGTTTGGCCTGAGGGAATGGGAAAAAGAAGTTGAGAGACCTGGGCAGGGAGAGGCACCTGCTCCTTCAGAGCCCACCTCCCCCATCCTCCCTGCAGTCCAATGGGGCTCAAAGCCTGATCCACATCGTAGGTTAAAATATGAGCATCTCACTCCCTTCCCCTTTCTTTTCTCAGGTCATGACAAAGGCTTTTGACCCTCCCCTTGTACTTATGCACAGAAGCCCCTGTGTGTGTTCTTTAAAGGTGAGATCCTTATGATTACAGAGCCCCATAGAGTTGGGGTGGATCTGGATTTCCATCCCACCTCAGAGAGTCCTTCCATAAGAACATTCCTGCCTTTTGTTACCCGCCCTCTGCCCCCTCAGCTCCCCCAGGGCAATCCTCCTCATGGCTTCCTGATGACTTTGTGCCTATGCTAAAAATCCTTCAGTTGTTCTCCACCACCTGCAGAATGGTAGCATAGTGCCTAAGGCATCTGACTGCTAACCAGAAGGCTGGTGGTTCAAACCCACCAGCCACTCAGTCAGAAGGAAGGTTGGGCAATCTACTTCCATAGTGATACTGCCTCGGAAACTCAAGGAGGGGTCTCTATGAGTCGGGCCGACTCGACGGCACATAACAACAACAACCTGCAGAATATGAGTCTCTCCTTGCCCCAACAGTTCTAGCCTCACCTCCTACACCCACCCATTTTACAAAGACTCATAGTTTTGTTGCCACATTAAACTGTGTCTCTTTTCCGGAGTACAATTCTATACCATTAACACTGTTCCCTCTGCCTGGGATTGCCCCTCTCTACTTTGCCCAAGTCATTTTTCCTTTAAGACCTAGCTCCCTGGCCATGATTTAGATCCTCCCCATCTTTGATTTCAAGGAACTCTGAACAAAACCTTTACAATATCATAATCATTTATAGGTGTGCCACCCTCACAACACCATGGGCTCCTGGAGGAGCAGGGACCCACTTTACTTACTTGAATTGTTATGCCTCTCTCTGGGAACTCTGATAGTGTAGTGCCTAAGGCACTTGACTGCTAACCAGAAGGCTGGCAGTTCAAACCCACCAGCCACTCCTTGGAAGGAAGGTTGGGCAATCTACTTCTGTAGTGATACTGCCTTGGAAACCCAAGAAGGGGCCACTATGAGTTGTGTCTGACTCCACAACACAACAACATGTCTCTTTCTGCCTGTCCTCTTTCCCATTCAACTAGCTACTAAATGAAAAACAAAAATCTCTCCTCCCAACAGCTTAAATTTCACAGCAAATACACAAGTGAGTTCTGTTTTCCAATAATTTGTAGCAAAGTCTTTTTCTTTCAAGGGCTTGGGAGACCAGAATGGGTAAAAGAAGCTCTACTTACTGGCTTTTTCCTTCTTTATGTCTTCTACTTTTTCTGCCTTTCTCTCTCCTTTTGTAAAGGGTAATACAGGGTAGAAATTAAGAGCTTAAGCCTAGACCCAGTCAGATCTGGACCTGAACACAACTATGTGACCTGAGACAAACCCACTTCAGTTTTCCTCATCTTAAAATGGGAGTAACAGAATCTACTTCATGAAGAATACACTTAGCAGTGTCTGATATATAGAAAAAGATCAGTGTTATCTAGTATTGACTACCTAGCCCTTAAGCCAGCCAGTGACACCCTGATGATGACCGTTGAGCAGGTTACTGACCCTGAGTACTAAAAGCAGTTGTTACACAGGCTAAGTGATTGCAGAAAACATTAACAGTAATAAAAAGATTACAGCCAAGCCGTAACATAAAAATAGCATAAACTATGCAAAATTTTGCCCTTTGATATTACTTTCCATTTGTCTACAACTGTCACTGATCTCCACTACATTCCGAATATAATTATTATATTATTATTAAACATTTAAATTTACCATTTCAGTATGGATTACACCTCAACATCAAGAAAACAAAAATCCTCACAACTGGACCAATAAGCAACATCATGATTAAGTGGAGAAAAGATCTGAAGTTATCAAGGATTTCATTTTCATTTGGGTCCATAATCAATGCCCATGGAAAGAGCAGTTAAGAAATCAAATGCACTGGGCAAATCTGCTGCAAAAGACTTCTTTAAGGTGTTAAGGAGTGAAGACATCACTTTGAAGACTGAGGTGCACCCAGGACTAAGCCATGGTGTTTTCAATTGCCTTGTATGCATGTGAAAGCTGGACAATGAATAAGGAAGACCAAAGAGTTGATGCATTTGAATTACGATGTTAGCAAAGAAATACTGACTATAATGGACTGCCAGAACAATGAATAAATCCGTCTTGGAAGAAGTATAGCCAGAATGTTCCTTAGAAGCCAGGATGGCAACACCGTCTATCCTACTTTGGTCATGTTATCAGGAGGAACCAGTTCCTGGAGAAGAGTATCATGCTTGGTGAAGCAGACGGTCAGCAAGACCTTCAACATGATGGACTGACACAATGGCTGCAACAGTGGGCTCAAGCATAGCAATGATTGTGCGGATGGTGCAGGACTGGGGAATGTTTTGTTCTATTGTACACAGATTGGCTGTGAGTTGGAACCAACTTGATAATACCTAACAGCAACAATAAATCTACCATTTCATACTTTTCTTAAATTGCTAATAAAAATTCATAACCAAAACTCCAACTACATTACTATTTAAAAGAAATTTTTAAGGATCTTTAACTTTTTACAGGTTTATTTAAGAATCATTTGTGTGTGATTAGCTATTCAATCAAGAAATATTTCTAAAAAACATGACGTCAAAGAGTCATTTTACGTATCTGAAAATACTCTTTTCAGAGTACTCTCTGTAACACAGTCTACAAGTCAGAAAGGGAATTATTCAAATTAGGCTATAAAAAAACTTATTTGTCGATTCTGAGTCATGGTGACACCATATGTAGAGAAGAACTGTGCTCCATAGGGTTTACAAGGCTGTGACCTTTCAGAAGCAAACTGCCAGGCCTATCTCCCAAAGTGGCTCTGAGTCGTCAACTTTTAGGCTAAGAGTTGAATGCTTAACTGTTTATGCCACCCAGGGACTCCCTTCAGGGCTTAGTACAGGCTTTTCAGGTAGCTGGCATCCAACAGAAGTGACCAAGGCAAGTAAAATCCAGTTTTCAGGTTTTTAGAGAAGTCCTGCAGAAAAAAAGTGGAGGAACTACTGGTTCCAGTTAACAGACTGACTGTACATTGCATGATGGGTATGGTTAACCGGGAACTGAAGGCATATAAAAGAACAAAAGCTCATAACGTCCCCCAAGAATATAGGACTAAAAGTCAGGTGATGTTATCAATGCAGTCATTCTTGAACTGGACTGGGCTCTCCTGAGAAATTCTCTCCCACACTGATTCAGAATCCCTAGTGGTAAGACCCACAGCACTTCTGAGAAGTAATTATGACAGTCAGCCAAGTTTGACAATCACTGTGTGAAAGGAACAGTTACTTGTGATTAGGGGATGTAGGTCTTACTTATATAGTACTCAGAGCCAAGAAGCTCTAGATTTGTTACTCTAAAAATTGAAGTAGCAATAACAATACCTAACTTGACATAACTACAGGACTCAGAAGGTGTGAAAACACAAGTCATAAATCAAAAAGGCACCATAAACACCAAACAGAAACTCTCCTCCTCCTGGTCCTACTGCTTTCAACCCATCTAGGCCTTGGATAAGTAGTGTTACTTGTGCTGGATGTCATTCAGACAAATCTCCTTCACCTAAGTCTAAAAAGAATCAGGATCAGAAGTAGGGAGCAAGATATGACCCACACCAGAATCAGTCTCCAAAGAGTGAGGTCACATGTCAGAAATGTCAAATTAATGAGACATCCAAATGGTAGTGACAGTTGTTAATGGGTGGGGGGGCCGGGGAGTCATAACTTAGTCCATTTAGCTGTGTGGTCCTATATATATTACTTATAGTTAACTGCCTCTGTTTCCCAATCTATAAGATGGGAATGAAAACATACCAAAATCACAGGGTTTTTTAAGTTTTAAATGAGACAGTGTAGGAAAAATGCTTAGTACACTGCCTTGGTATACAAAGTAAATGCTTAATAAATATCAATTATTAATCCTGACTCAATGACACCTAACAACAACAATTCTGGAGAAATTAAAGTTCAAAAAATTGAGAGATTTTACAGCAAATAATTTGACAGCAAATAAATGGCAGACCCAGGTCAGCTGACTTAAGAAGCCTCTCTCTTTATTTCTGAATTGTTAAGGTAAGAAATTCTGGTTAGTACATCAGACTGATGCAGATCCAACAACAAAAGTTCTCAGGAGAACCAAGCCAAAGCATCGAGTGGTGGGGAACAAACAGTCAGGAGTGTTGGGCATTTGGGTTTGACACTAGTCATTTCTACACTGGTGCTTCAGAGCTCAAGTTATCCCCATCTCTTGAAGTATCAGTCAAAGGTAGACTTAAGTTTTACCCAGAAGAAAAGGAGAATAGAGGTAAAGCACTAGGGACCTGTTACCTACACTCTTACATTTACCGACAGTGGAAAGGTGAAACAGCAGTGCTCTGCTGCCCAGGAGATGCAGCCCAGTAAATCTGGCATCACCAGCTTTGTCTTATATCCTTTGAGGAAGCCAGTCTTCCCTGGTCTTCTTTGCTGTATCTCCTTTATCTGTGTACAGGATCCTTCTCACTCTCCCCTACTTTGGTGTCAGTAAACGCTTAGATAAGGAGAATCATCTCACCAGTACATGAGGTTCTTTAGGGGAAGATGCTTCCATTTCCCAGCTCCCCTTATTTCCTCTCCACCCCCACTAAACTCCTATCTTCTCTCTTTACTTCTCTCACCTTGTACTCCTGCACCACCTCCTCCAATGGCACCACACTGTGCTGTTTGTGGCTCCTGGATTCTCGGCACACTACACAGATGGCCTCTTCGTCCACTTCACAGAAGAGTTTCAGGGCTTCTTGGTGTTTGGGGCAGATGCCCTGTTCGTTCCCACGGATCCCGCGACCAGGAGCTGGGTGCATCTGCCGAATCACTTGGACCATGTTGGCCAGCTGCAAGTTGGGACGAAAGCTCCTCCGGGGAAAGCTCTTTCGGCACTGGGGGCAAGTGAAGCACCTCCGAGGGGCAGGAGGCGGAGGCAGTGGGGTAACCGGATCTAGCTCCTCTTCCTCGTCTTCCTCCAGCACCTCCTCTTCGTCCTCCTCATCCTCCCCCCTCAGGTCCTCCTCCATGTCCCCCAGGTAGTAGTCCAGGTCTTCCTCCTCATCCTCCTCCTCCCACACGTAGTCCATGTTGTCCCAGTTAGACCCGCCCATGCCATTTGTCCAGAACACACCCTCCTCTTCCTCCTCGACCTCCTCCTCCAAGTCTCCCTCATAGTCTTCGTCCCGCATAGGGGTGTCCCACCCCCCGCCAGCCCCTACAGCCTCCACTTCCTCCTCCTCGCCGTCCTCCTCCTCCTCCTCCTCCTCCCGGTCTAACTCGTCTCTGTCCTCCTCATCCTCTCCGCCCCACAACTGGGTTACACACACTCGGCAGAAGTTGTGCCCACAGCCGATGGACACGGGGTCCGTGAAGTAATCGAGGCAGATGGCGCACACCGCCTCCTCCTGAAGGGTCTGCACAGGGTTGGGTGTCATGGCAACGGCAGCCATCTTAGCGTCCAGTCAGCCAGTTTAAATGTACGGTGGGGGCTGGGAGGGGGCGGGGGTCTTCCCTCTCAGATGCCCTGGCGACCCGACCCCACCCCCAGCCCTGCGTCCCCACGCCTCGCCTCAAGCGCTGCCAAATGTTCTCGCGACAACCCACCCCTCCACACAGAGTTCCCTAATCCCAGACTACAACCGCGTCTCTGCGAGGGCAAGGGAAAGAGCTGAACGCTATCGCCAAGGCCCTCAGGTGGCCCTGAGTGCAAATCTACCCCAACGCTTCCTTGGCCTCCTCATAAACCCCCGCCCCTCCTCACTTCCTGGTCCCGCCCCCTTACTTCCTGTCTCCCACACAACACTTCCGGCTTCTGAGCGCCACACGGGCTCTTGAGTTCCCTCAGCGGTAGTGCTACGCCCCTCTTCTTCCTTCCCCGGCCCACGGACGACAGGAAACGGCGATGAGACGCTCTAGCAGGCACTCGGGAATAGGGTGGGAGAGCTAGGACGTAGGAAGCCTACGTCTCTGTGATGCGGGTAGTGGGGAAAGCCGATGGAGCAAAGGGCACGCCCTTCCGCTGCCCCCGCCACTGAAGAGAAACTTCGGAGAAGGGTGGGAGCACTTGGTGACCGTCTGCTATGACCGCCTCGACTGGGCGCTCCCCTACCAACAAGACACGAATGACTGCAGCTGGAGCTACCCACAGCCGGTGCCGGAAGCGGAGGGGAGGGACTTCGACGAGGGCCTTGCTGCGCTTGGGCCATTTTAGGCGGAAGACTTTGTTGTTTGAGGACTGTTTTTCGGTGATGGATGCTGGGGCGGGGCCTGGAGAATTCTGATGGAGGTGGGGCCGGAGACACTTCCGCCACCTATAGTTGGTATCTTCCACGCCCATTTTAGAAACTGCTGTTTGGGCACTGTAGCCTAGTGTAGATGAACTTTCCTGAACTCAGCGGTAAACAAATGGTAACAAATCATTAAACCGACATCTACACAATGAAACACTATCTGTAAAATTCGAATCCATATTTAAAACTTGTTCTTACGTGATAAAAGCAAGACACTTCAAAATGTGTAGAGTATGCTGCCATCTGTAAAAAAAAAAATGTTAGAAAGATGTGCTTGATATTATATTCCTGTGCTCAGTTTCCTCATGCAAAATGAGGATAATAGTACCTACCTCAAAGAGGTTTGCGAGAATTAGTGTTAAATGCCATGTAAACCGACTAGAATAGTGCTAGTAGGGGCGATGGGTTAGCTACCTGTTAACTCTGATCATTTTCATCGACACCTCTAAAGATATTAGTAACAGAGCTCCTCTGGGAAGACAACGGAGTGACTGAGGGTCATGAGTAGGACAGACGCTTTTCTTTATGTATCTTTATGTATCCTTTGAATTTTGAAATAACAATGTATTACCTTAACAAAAGTAAAACTTTGTAAATGCCATCGATTAATTCAAGGAATACTTCTGAGGTGTGCATCACACATGCCCTGAGCCCGGAACGCCTGTAGCTCTATCTTCATGGAGCCCCAGTGTAGGAACAGGACTACGGATTGGGTCTGTGGTATTGATTTTACTTGAGGCAATTCTGTCCAGGCTGTGGAACTGTAGTAGTAAAGATCCCTTGGTGGTACCCAGAGTCAAATGGGTTTCTTGTGCGATAGTAATAGTTTTTGATGCTTTTGATTAAATGCCTTGTTTAATTACAGGGGAAAAAACAAACCCTTAAAAGTCAAGTATGTATATTCAAGGAGCACTGGTGTCTTGGTGGTCACCTCTGCAACGGAAAGATGCAGTTCGTTACCGTAAAGGCTTAAAAAAAAAAAAACAAACCTGCAGTAGACCTGCCCTTTAGTTTCCAAGGTTGTAAACCTTTGTGGGAGCAGGCTGCCACATCTTTCTCCCACAGAGTGGCTGGGGGGTTCCAACTGCTAACCTTTGAGTTATTAGTAGAGCGCTTTAGCTACTGCTCCAACAGGGCTCCTTCCCTTGTGAACCTTATGGGCCAGTTCTACTTTGTCCTTCGGCGTTGCTATGAATCCCAGTGGAGTTCTGGCAATGGGTGGGTGATGTATGTGCCAAATTCCCAATGA